ACGTTCTTTCCAGCCATCCTATTGGAGGTCGATCGCTGGAAAGGAGAAGGGTCGTTTGGAAAATCCTGTTTTCTTGTTTTTAGACAAAGCAAGTGGCACGCCTAACATCCAACTCACATGGTAAAGGCCGGCTGAGGATTTTTGAGGAAACAATCCTTTGTTGGCACGCCCAGTGGGACAACTAGCAGGATGTATCAACTACAGTTCACAAATCCTCTGTTCATACATTCAGAGGCGTCTGGAGCCATGCCACCGAGAAAGAGCAAAGATAAAGAGGTTCAGCCAGCCCAGGCTGAACATGCAGATGACAGTCCAGTTTACTCGGAGGGTGAGAATAATCTAGTTGTTTCTCCTTTCTTATCACCCTTCGTGGAGCGATCCTATGGGAATCCAATTTTCAAAGAAAGGGATGCAGACCGCAGAGATGACTTCGCTGAATCAAATAATGTGTTTAAAGGTATGACTAAACGTCTGTATTTAGCATTCAAAGAAAAGAACCAGGCTATGCGGAGGTTTGTTGAGAGTCAAGCAGAATTTTCCAGGCGCCAGGAAGAGACAATTAGACAATGTATAGAAGAAATGAGACGGGTCTTTGAAAAAGGCACTAGGGTGATGCGAGAAACTGGGGAAGAAAGTCGCAGACCACTGCAGGCTGTTTCAGAACAAGTGGTTGAGCAAGTGCGACAGCCCAGACCTGAGATCCCTCCTCCAGTCCCAGAGATGCCCAGACAGATTCAGGAAGCCCCAATCCCAGCACTCGGGGGGCAAGGGAATCAGCCTCATCCCAATATTCAACAGCAGCATTTTGTCATTGGTGAAGGGCAAAGGCAACACCAATTGATGGAGGCTGCTACTCCTATTGCAGACCATGGCCATCAACCTCAACATAAGTATATTCTGCCAGCTAGGAAGGGAAATGTGGGTCCTCATCATCAACCTTGTCCAAGGGACTTTTTCCAGCCACAAGTTCCTCCAGCCCAGCCGGTACAACGTGGTCTGCAGAATCAACCAGCTCAATTCTTCAATAGAGACCATGGGCCAGCCTTGAGGTCATTGGAAAAGATTGATAAGGGTATCTTGAAATTTCTAGACAAAGCGAAGGAAACCATGGGAGTAGATGCAGATCCTTTTCTAGCTATGTCTGTCGGTGTAAATGTTGCAGACCTCAGGAGTGTTGCCAGAAATCGCAGTCTGCCTTATGCTCAAAGGAACCTTGCTGCAGAAGACTTAAGGTGGGTTCTTGAGGCGCAGAGATCCAGACAGAGCAGGAGCGTCAGGTCAGACCAGCAGAGGCTTGGGGGGCAAGAAAGGATCACTGTGACCAGGAACTTCAGTCCAGAAGGTGCCAGACGTTATTCAACTGGTACTAGATCTCCAAGGATGGTCAAACCGCCACTCAGGTCACCTTCCAAACGATGGGAGAAAGTCAATCATCCCAAGTTTCCAGCCGAGAATCCCAGAACCTTGAGGCGCAGACTGCAGCACAAGAGGGCTGAAGAGCGAAAAAGACACCAGAAGCAGGTGAAGGCTGAGGGAAGTTCATCTCGCAGACCACGCCAACCTACCAAAAGGAATATGGTATGGGTGAGAAAAGAGAAAAAGGAGGCTGTAACCCAGACTCTACAGAAGGAGGATGACCAATCTTCAGCTTCTCCAAAGGTGGCGTCTGTCATTGTGAGTCCAGACGGAGTTTTGAAAGCAACTTTTCAAGCACAAGAACGGTCTGGGAATCCTGGATCTGAATCAAAAGAAGATGGCACTATTCATTTTGGGGAATTCTCAGTGAATTTGTCATGTCTGGTGCTGACATTACCCTTGGTTTTCCAAGCCAAAAAGGAGGAGGAACCAATCGTCTGCGAGTTCCCAGAACAGACAGAAGAAGAGGTAATCGTTGTTCCAGCTCAGGATGATGAAGAGGAGGACATGGCTGACAAAATTGTG